TGTTTATTTATTTTTGAGAGAGAAAGAGAGACAGAGCGTGAGCAGGGGAGGGGCAGAGAAACAGAGACACAGAATCCGAAGCAGGCAGCAAAGAGCCCAATGCAGGGCTCAAACCCATGAACTGTGAGATCATGACCTAAGCTGAAGTCAGACACTTAACTGACGGAGCCACCTAGGCACCCCTTGGTTAACATTTTTATTTTCATGTCCATGCTATCTCTAAAATTGGGAAAAATGCATTACTTGATTTTAACATTCAATAATCTCCATATTAAGTAATTAGTTTTGCTGTTGTTCAGAAGAACACACATATACACAAGAGCTCACTACCAGCAAATAGTAGCATTTCCTAAATGAACAATAAGGAGTCAAGCTTCAGGTCTGCTATGAAATTTATAAAATAGGATTTATAATTGTTTTCTCTACACTCTGAGATAATCCAAACACTGTTCCTTGGACTGTCTTGTCCTTCTTTTCACATCCCACTTCCAGCTTTGGGAAACGGAAGCCACCTACCTTCAGAGTATTTAGTCTCAAGGTTGCTCTTAATTACACGTGTAAACTTCCAGCTTTGCAGCCACGGCCCCAGCCTCTGCTCCTACACCACTGCAGGCCAGCATGGACTGTTGCTGGACACAGTTTTGAGCTTTATTCCTCCTATCCCCAACTGCAGCCCTCCCCTGACACCCACTTCCAGTATTGGAGACCACCAAAGGCATGCTCAATCTTGTCAATGTTTGGGTGTGGACCAGTGAGGAACACGATTGAAATGATACATGTGATGATGAATTGCACACTTTATCCTGCAGGTTTCAAGGATCTATTGAAAGTTTTAAAGCAGGTGAGTTAATGATAAAAGCGGTATTTCAGAAGGATAAATTCTCAGTGGAGTACAGCAGGGATTGCATATGGAGGTGAAAATGTATATAGGCAGAGATACTAGCATGCAAATAGCCAGCGCTGTGTGGAAAAGATATAGAAGGATTATGTCCTCTGCTCTGAAGTAGCTTATAATCTCACTTGGAAGGCAGAACTAAGGCACGTGAAACCATTTCTTCTCTTCTCCGGAATTACCTGGCCACTGTCATCATGAAACAGTGGTTCATTTCACCACGTAACAAAAATGAGAACAATATGCACATAGGTTAATATTCTGAAGCATATGGATAAGACTAAGCAACGTCAATGTTAAGTCAGTAAATGTAAAACACTAGGGAAAGTTGCCTTACTGAAGTCTGGATCTTTATCATCGATACCAAATATAATGCAAAATAAATGAAAACAAAGAAGAAAAGACAGTAAAGCCTTAGAAAAATACCGAGGCTCCATTATGGAATAGTAGCCCTTTTACAAACCCAGGCATTTGCCCGGTGATTTCCTTCTGCATGTATCTGTTTAGGAGAAAGAAATGGGAAGCAGTTAGAGTTTAAGGTTACAAAAACAAGGCAAGGGACAGACACATAGAAGTGCCCATGTTGGATGGTGCTTCTGTTGACAATGTTGTTGTCAGAATGTAAAGGGATAACAGAGAAAATCAGCATGAGAACAGCAGTCTTGTCCACAATGCCTTTCTAGAAGAATAGCCTAGGTCTGAATAAATGCGCTTTGTGTTTCTGGCTCAGCTCTGCCTTGTCTGCTACCTAATTCAGCCCACATTTTACCTGCTGGCTGCCACCTTTTATACACAGGTGAGGACTATTCCTTGGCAATGCTCAGCTATGTAGCATTACCTCAGGCACCATTACAGTGTCAGTTTAGCTGGTTAGAACAAAACGTTCAATAATCTAAAGGCACAGAGGGGTGGTTTAATCAGGCCATTTGGCTTTGTACAGGAAACCTCTCCCCTGCAAGGCCTGGGGCTGTCCTTCACACTCCCATCCCTCAGGGACAGTGCAGTTATGCTGACACTGTCTGGAGAACCTACTGTGACAAGAGGGTCATTTTAGGGATGTCATCCTGTGGGAAGCCCACATTATTTTCCCACTAGTCAAGTTGTTTGGAGGTTGGTTTGTCTTTGTGTATAATGCTTAGCTGTAGCCCGTGTCCTACAATTTGAACAGCTACTTGAATAATCTATTAGAACATACCTGCTTCAGATGTAGAGGACATTGAAAACCTCTGTAGCAGGTATAAAATCACACGAGGCCCTGAACTGGTTGGGATCCAGTATTTGTAGGAAAGGTCAAAAGGTGACATCCTCTTTTTTTTTTTTTTAATGTTCATTTATTTTTGAGAGAGATATATAGAGCACGTGCAGGGAGGAGCAGAGAGAGAGGGAGACACAGAATCTGAAGCAGGCTCCAGGCTCTGAGCTGTTAGCACAAAGCCCAATGCAGGGCTGGAACTCAAGAACCATGGGATGATGGCCTGAGCTGGAGTCGGACGCTTAACCAACTGAGCCACCCAGGTGCCCCAAAAGGTAATATTCTTAGTGGCACTCTACAGGTGGCCAAAAAGCCTATACGAGTGTTGCCCTATTTCTCAGTGTCCTTTAGAATAAAAAAGGTTTGCTGCTAACACCCTTTATAGACCCGTAGTTAGGTTTAAAACTTGGTATTATATTGATATCTCACCCTGACTTTTACACCATCACATGCAGGGACAGGCACACTGGATTGCGTCTTCTTGTCTAGTCTGAAGTATTCGCAGTAGGCACCAATGTTCTTTGCTGCCATGGAGGCATGTGGAATAACTATTTTTCTATAAGTAGTCAATGAGAAATTTCAATTGTTTATGTGGCATATTTATATACTATATTTTGTAAGAGATTATTTTTATAAACATATTAATCATTTGGATAACTAATTATAAAATTAGAAGCTCATAGAATTATACCTATTTTATTGAAGAAAAACAGGGGTTCCGGTATATTTGAACTTAACTATGATGGCAATCGAAGGCAGGCAGATAAGAGTCTGCTATTTTAAACCAGATTTCATTGAATAAACACTACCTAATCTTAGAACAAAGCTACTAATGCTAGTGGATAAAAATGTAAAATATATAGAGATAAATTGGGCTGTGAATTATTATTCTTTTTTTTTATCACAGAACATTGAATATAGACTATCTAGCATATTGTAATACTTTAATATGGAAGACCATAGAGCCTACAAATACTGAAATATATATAACAACTATTTTTTAAATGCAGAGTTGAGGGGCACCTGGGTGGCTCAGTTGGTTGAGCATCCAACTTTAGCTTAGGTCATTTTGGTTAACTCTCAAGGTTTCTGAGTTTCAGCCCTGCATGGGCTCACTGCTGTCAGCGCAGAGCCCGCTTCAGATCCTCTCTTTCTCTCCCTATCTTTTTGCCCCTCCCCCACTTCTCTCTCTCTCTCTCTCTCTCTCTCTCTCTCTCTCAAATAAATAAAACATCAAAAAAATAATAAATGCACAGTTGAGTTGAAAAATATGTTAATGAAATCAACGGGGGCCAAAACTGCAATAAGAGTCTGGGGGAGGTGGAAAAAGGATCGTTAATGTCAGTAACCTAGAATTAGAGTTGTTATCACAGAAGCAGACAAAGGAGTGAGGCCTTGGGCAAGCAGCATAAATTAGATCTAAGATCCACAAAAATGCTCACAGTAACTAAGAGTTACTTCTGCAGAAAGTTGTGGAGTAGGGAAGGGAAAAAGAAGATGGCCTGCAGCAGAAGGAAATTTGTCTCTCTTGGATTTGTCCTGCTATCATTTAGACCTACCCTCAGACCTGCTCTCATTCAGGACTTTATTGGTGAAATACCTTTGTGGTTAGACTAAGAATAGCAAGAGAGAAAACTTTGGAGAAATTCTGAATTTGTTTCTGTCCCATGTCAAAATTCATTTATTCATCAACTCTCAACTTCTATTATTACACTTTTTCAGGTTCAGGTTTATGAAATAAGAAAATGCATGAAAATCTACCTTGAGCAAGTCAACAGAAACAGTCACCATGTTATCATGTAACTTTAGTTTAACAGAACATTCGTGTAGAGACTTTAAAATAAGACCTGTCAGCTTTGACAAAAGTCCAATGAGTATTTTAAAATTTAAAAATACAGTCTTTGAAATTAAACACTCAGTACGTAAATCAAAGAGCAGATTAGACACAGTTGAAGATTTAGTGAACACTGAAGAATTCATCCAGAAAACACAGAGAGATAAAAATGGGAATCTATAAAAGGTAGATTATAAGTCATAGAAAACAGAATGACAAATTCCAATAAAATTCCACCAGAAACTCAAGAGAAGAAAATAGAAAATAAGCAAGAGGTAATATTTACAGAGTTATATTTCAGAATTCATGAGATACCTGACTTCAGGATGACTGACCCCAATCGAGGTAGAGACACTTGGACACACAGTAATGACACTGGAGGACACTAAAAACAAAACAAAAAAAGTTTGTAAATTCAACATGCAAGAAAAAAAAATATGGATTATCTATAGGAGAACACAACTAGATGGGTAGCAAATCTTTTACTACAGCCAGTTTTTACCAGCCAGAGACAACAGAATAATATATTCAAATGACATATACGCAAAGACTTAAAACAGGTGTGTGAGTTAGCCATGTGAATTTCAGACAGGAGTGTTGGGAGAACATTTTTGGCCAAGGTAATGGGGCTACAAAGTCTATAAGACAAGGATATGGCTTGTTTGCTCAAGGAAAAGACCAGGATGGCCAGAGTACACAGAGAAAAGAGAACGAAGAAGCAGTGAAATCAAAGAAGAAACAGGATCAGGTTGTGTGGAGCCCTATAGGCTAAGTAAGAACTTCTTCTTCACTTTTAGTGAAGTGAGTCATTGCAAAGTTCTGAGTGGAGAAGCAACATGATTTGATTCACCCTTTAAATTGACTACAGTGAGAGTTTTGAAAACAGTCTATTAGAAAACAAGTGTACTAGAGTGCTTGGGTGGCTAGATCGGTTAAGCATCTGACTCTTTGTTTTGGCTCAGATCATGATCTCACAGTTTGTAAGATGCAACAATGCATGGGGTTCTGAGCTGACAGTGCAGAGCCTGATTGGGATTCTCTCTCTCTCTCTCTCTCTCTCTCTCTCTCTCTCTTTCTTTCTCTCTCAAAATAAATAAACTTAAAAAAAAAAAAAGAGTACAATTAGGGAGACCAACTAAGAGGCTGTTGGAGTAATCCAGGCTTGGACTTTGATATTGGAATAGTGGAAGTGGTAAAAACCATTCTGATTCTGGGGCCATTTTGAAGATGGAGTCAACAGGTTGTCCTGATTGATTAGATGCAGTGTGTGACAAAGAGAAGAATCAAAAATGATTCAATGATTTTGGGATTGAGAAGCTTGAAATATAAAATTGGCTTCAACTGTGATGAAGAGGCTGTAAGTGAAGCTCATTTGGGGAGAGAGTACTAGTTGGGTTGTTATGTTTGATAAAATAATGCTTATATATAGAATGAAGTTTCTAGAAATAAGATACTTCACCAGTTTTTTTCTATCACTTGACCCTGACCTCACCTCTATAAACCCCTGCTTCATGAAGCTCTTTTCTTTTTTTTAATGTTTATTTGATTTTGAGAGAGAGATACATAGGCAGAGACAGAGATAGAGCATGAGCTGGAGAGGGGCAGAGAGAGAGGGAGACACAGAATCAGAAGCAGGCTCCAGGCTCTGAGCTGTCAGCACACACAGCCTGATGTGGGGCTAGAACTCATGAACCGTGAGACATGACCTGAGCCAAAGTCAGACACTCAACTGACTAAGCCACCCAGGCACCCTTGAACTCTTTTCAGTTGCCTTGTCTTATATTTCTGTTTTCTTTTACAACTAGGGATAATATAATTACGAAATGAAATATTGATTAATGTAATACAAACTCTTCCACCTGCTTGGGTCCCGAATGCCAAAATGTTTTAAAGTATGTATGTTGGCATAAATGAATTTTAAGAACTAAAAATAAGTCACTAGATTTAATTAGGAGTGTGCTACATGCATTTATCTTAACATAATTTCAAATAATGAAAATAATATATGCTATATTAATGGAACTTTCATAAATAGTAAATGACCTGAAGTTTCCCATGGTTAATTCACATGCCATGATCTACTACCATAAGAACAATTAGGGATAAATCCTATGTATTTGGGATGTTTTCTTTACTTTGTTTTGTTTCTTTCCTAGGCTGAAAGTCAACAATGGCGTATCCTGGCAGAGTCTAGGAATGCTCTAGGTCACATTCCCCTAAAAAGAGAAGAGGCTAATGGACAAAGACTGTGTCCAAAATTATAATGAACTGACAAAGAGATATTTTCATAACAGGAAACTTTGGGTGTTTGGGGAAAAAAATGGATGTGAAAATGTGGAATTTGTCAATTAACTCTGCAAAGATGAGACACAAAACAGCCTTAACGCTGATGGATGGGTAGACTCTCCCAAGGAATAAAGTAAAACTTCTATCTTCTTTTTCAAAATTTCACCTGTGAATTCATACACATCTTCTGAGTCTCATCTTCCTGTTCCTTGTGTGTGGGACCACGTACGATGGGGAAGGACAGTGCCCTGCAATACCACAGTTACACAAAACAGATCCAGCTCCAGCATTCATACCTACTCAAGCAGTGCCCCTAACAGGTGTCATGCTGGATAACACACTTGCTTTCCAAAACTCAGAATAAATTAGAGAGAAAGAAATAAAAGCCATACTTTTTAGAACTATGTTTATATTGAAATTTAAACACCCCAGTGAAAGGGATTTACATAAAAGAATATGACCTACATGATACAGTGTACATGAGTGAAAATTGCTTCTCAGTTCTTCATAAAATTTTAGCTTGACTGGCAGGTACAACGTAAAAACAATCTGCATGTTCTGCTTTCATTTACATTTTCACTCTCCCATGTCACATTGGATTATAATTTTTTTTTAGTGTTTTATCACAGCAATAATCACTTCAAAGCATATTAGTGCTGTGTCCTTATATGATATAAACAAATATGTGCCAGAACACTGAATTCTTGCTTTAACCCTTGGTCTAATATGCCTTAACATAATGATATTTTTCCTCATTAATGTGAAAAATGTAAAATACTGGTTTTGCACACCACACACACACACACACACACACCCCATGTCATATCACATAGTGACAGCTATTCACATAGATAAAGTCAACGAAATTAACATGTTTGATTCTCTAAGGATTAGGAACTAGTGTCTTTACTTAACAGTATGCATTTAGTTCTAGGGGTGCTTGGGTGGCTCGGTGGGTTAAGCATCTGATTTTCGCTAAGGTCACGATCTCACAGTTCGTGAGTTTGAGCCCCTCGTCAGGCTGTGTGATGACAGCTGACTGGAGCCTGATTCAGATTCTGTGTCTCCCTCTCTCTCTGCCCCTCCCTCACTGACGTTCTGTCTGTATCAAAAGTAAATAAACATTAAGTGTATATATATATATATATATATATATGCACGCACATATACATTTGGTTCTAATACGTGAGCTCATAAACATTTACTAAGTGCCTAACACACATTGGACAAGAACTAAGCAGAGAAAAAAGAAAATGGGTAGGTTTCTTATAGTACACTTGGAAAGAGAATACATAAATCATAAATGGGAAATTTCCATATAGTAGGCCTAAGAGAGGAGGTCTGCTTAGCTAAACCAGAAACTACAATGTAAGTTTCCTGAAAGAGATGATTTGATGTTTTTTGCCCACTTGTCACAAAAAAATATACCTAAGATACTTTGGAACCCCAAAATGTAACACTATCTATGCTAGAATGAAATTTTCCAGTTAATAAAATTTGAACAATTTATTAAGCATGATTCTTTATCAAAATTTTACCTTTCTTGAACACAATAAACTTAGAATTAATATGTGTATTACTTTCAAGGATTTATAACATAAACTGTTTTACCTTTGTATTATTTTAGCAATGAGATACTTTTTTTATGGATGATAAGTGGGTATGGTAATTCATGGAATGTCTTGATATTACAACTGGGTACTTCAACAAAGGATTCCTGTAAGGAACTATTGGAAAAAATAAGGTGAGAAAAATGGTAAGCCTACACTTGGGCAGTCAACATGAGGGTGGAGCTTGACAGAAGTAATCTTTGTATTTACATGGTCAAGTTGGCAGGATGTGGGAGTGTGAGATGCAGGACTCTGGGGTGGCTCCTATGATTCTGACATGGTGAGCGAGGTGTGCGGAAGTGAGGAACGCAGGGGGAAGAGTGGTTTGGGGCATGGCAAAGTGAAAGTGAAGGTGGGCTATCCAAATGACATTATGACCAAAAGTAAATAATAATAATATTCTTATGACCTGGGGCGCCTGGGTGGCGCAGTCGGTTAAGCGTCCGACTTCAGCCAGGTCATGATCTCGCGGTCCGTGAGTTCGAGCCCCGCGTCAGGCTCTGGGCTGATGGCTCAGAGTCTGGAGCCTGTTTCCGATTCTGTGTCTCCCTCTCTCTCTGCCCCTCCCCCGTTCATGCTCTGTCTCTCTCTGTCGCAAAAATAAATAAACGTTGAAAAAAAATTAAAAAAAAATAACTATTCCTTAAAAAAAAAAAAATATTCTTATGACCTAAAGCTCAGAAAAAATCAGAGCTCGAGAAATAAAGTTATCTACATGCAGGTAGACAATCATTAAAGTGAAGAGGGAAATGAAATCATCTATAGGGAATAGAAAGAAGCAATGCTAAAAGCCAAGGTGGGAACCGAAAGTATTAACAATATTTAAAGAGCAAGTAGATAGGAGAGTATCGACATTCCCAATGGGAGTGGGGGGAACGAGAGGAAAATACTACAGAGACATGTGGAAAACCTGGAGAGAATACTGCCATGGGAGTCAAATGAATAGATAGTTTTTAGAAGAAAATCAGCACTTTCCATTGCGGCAGAGATATCCAGCAACGTTAAAGACCAAAAAAGGACTATAAACTTTCATTTCCAGGGATTGAAACCTGGGGAATTCAGGCCAGACTCCTGCTGCAGAGAACTCAAAAATAAAAATAAAATAAAAAGCTGGACTAAATGTAACAAAATGAAGTCATCGGAAATTTGACAGTATAGTGAAGATACAGAGGGTAAATAGTTAATTTTATTCACTAATTTTGCTTACTTTCAGCAAACTGTGAACAAACAGATACAAATAACCGGATTTTTTAAATAGAAGAATTACCACCATCTGAAGAAGCATGAGAGAATTTGGGAATCGAAGAAAACTTACACTGATAATTTGCCATGAAAATTCTGAAATACTGGCACATTTCAGTGTCCTTCTTAGGTATTTTCCATTCTTTGTTTCTCTGAAAACAACTGTGGGTGGCCTAGCTCTCACACATTACAGCTGGTTTTTGAGAAACTTTCTTTAAATCTAAAAATCTCAAAGAGGAAGCTTCAGAAAAAGAAATCTTCTCGGGGAAGGAAAAATCCCATTGTTTATCATCAATGATGGTTGTAGACAACATCAACTCTTGAAATTGTTTCCACACGTTTTGCCCCTCTTTGTTGTTTTTCTGTATCAGAAGAATTACCTTTCCAAGGGGACTGTTTAAAGATGAAGGCAAGAACCAAAATAGAAAAAGGTGTGGAAAAGTCAGCTCGGAGTGTAACATAGTGAATAAGCTCCAACTCTGGATAAACAGAAAGGTGTTATTGTCCCGATGGATTTTTGAATGTGAGATTCAGTCTTTTTAAAGAATGTTATTTTGTTGCCTTAACTAATGTTTTTCCAGACGCCTTAATGCTTCTCCAATTTAGTTTGTTTTACAACAAATGGAATTATTAGCTTAGGAGCAATGAATTTTAATATCTTTAAAAAGTAGCATTTTTTAGAATAAGGAGCTGGTGATGCCATAATTCCCCTCCAATGGCTGGTGCTAATGTATGTAAAACATGAATTTACATAAGAAACAAATTACATGAATGCAGAAAGAAATCAGTTTAACATTAAAAAAAACAAACCTTTACTTTTGGGAGGGTACGCAAAGATTTGAGGGAGTACAGATATTTATCTAAGTTTTAATAATATTAAATATTAATAATAGGAAATAAAAAGCAGAGGGGGAAAAGATGTCTATAAAATCTCATTGATTATTCAGAAACGTTTTAACTGGAGTAATTAATTTATAGTTTTGTATACATAGTATGAAATGGTATACAATTAAATGAATAGATAAGGACTTCTCAACATGTGCCCTTTTTTTACTCCAGTTCATCGCTTCCTATGCCTTTAATTACCATTTAATTGCCAATACCTCTCATGCCTACATTCTTCTTTCTCCACCTCTCCCTTGGCTATTTAACACTTCCACTCGCCTGTCTCAAAGGTACTTCAGATTTCATCTAATGTCAAATTCCTGATCCTTCTGCATAAACTGACTCTTGTTTAGAAGCTCCCATTTCCATGAATGGCACAACCATTTGGTCTAGTTTAGCAAGATAGATAGAAGTCTGGGGTCCTCTTAGACAACCTGCTTCCCTTTTCTATTATTATGAGGTATTAAAATTATATGCATCTTATTTCAAAAGCTATTACTGCTCTGCATTTTGTTTTGGATATACCCAAATAATCATTAATAAAATTCTATTTCAATAGTTTTGCTGCTTGCTGCCAAGCAAAACTTTAACATCCTTAACTTCTCTCTCTGTCTCCATCTCTTCCTTCCTCCCTCCTTCCTTCTTTCCCTCCATTTTCTTTTCTTTCCTCTCTCTTTCTTCTTTTTTTAATCTTGGTGGTGGCTGGAATCTTTTTAGTTGTTACATTTTATGCATCTATTCATTAATTTATACACTCATTCAATACGTATGTATTATGCACCTACTCTGTTGATTGCATTATGCTGGGGAATTCATGTCTCAACATAAATTACAACAATTCCCCAACATAATTAATTTTCAACAATTGTTTGAGGCTTTATTCTAAAATGATGATTGGACTGCCTTTCCAACAATGTGGATTCATTCATTCGACAACCATAACAATAACAATTACGTGACCAATCCTGTGTTGGGACTAGAATGCAAAGATGAATACAACACAATGTATACTTACACTATAGTACAGAGACACAAAACAATAAAAAAATAAAGAAACTTGGATGCTAACTATACTGTGATGAAAAGGACAATGCAAATAGGAGTCATAAATTCCCTGGAGAGTGTCTGGAAACACTTGACGGTAAAAAATGTTTTTCTCCTGAGGACTTGCATAGTTATTCAGAAGATTTTTCCCTCTCCGGAATACAATCACAATACTCTTCTTTTCACAACTAACTGAACATTCTATTTTTAACCTAGTAACTTAGTATAGGTATATAGTGTTGGAAGTCCCTTTTACATTACTTGGTGACTCAGTTGAAGGAAATGTCCTCACCTGGTCAGTGTGAGTGGTATGGTGGGTGAGAAAATGGCTGCTAAATTTAACCTGTTGTGAACTTTTTCTATGACCGT